CACAGATTATGCTAACAGGTCTATAATCCTTTAGCTCAGATGGGTTAGCTTTCTTTGGTATAGGCAAGACTAGAGATTTTTTCCATAATTGAGGGAAAACACCATTCATAAGACTAAAGTCAAATACATGACATATCACAGGTATTAAATATACTAAGCACAGTTTTAACATACATATAGACACTTTATCTACACCTTCTGCTTTAGAATTAATGCTTGTTACAGCACTAATAACATCTTTAGGTTCAACACTCTTAAAGTAAAATTTTTCATGTGATACCTCCTCCTTTAGAGTATATTCTTTTATACATTCCTCAATAGACTGTTTGTCTGTGACAGAGGCTACACTTAGATAATATTGATTCAGTTCATCAGGAGATACTTTGCATACTTTGTCATCAGTTTTCTTTTTTCCTATGCCAAGGGTTCTAATGTTTGACCACATTTGTTTTGTTGTTTGCTTACTATTGAAGGCAGAGTGACAGTATCTAAGTTTGGAATTTCTCATTTCTTGCTTACATCTGTTCCTCAGTTTCCAAAACACTTCATGGTCTGCTTGATTTTTAGTTCTGGCAAACTTTTTTCTTGCTTTCTCCCTCTGATGTATTAATACTGATACTTCATCAGTAATCCATGGGTTATATTTATATTTTACTTTCACACTTTTTACAGGGACAATACTATCAAATAGATCAAGCAATATATTATTAAAGATCTGAACCTTACCGTCCACATCATCACAGTCATACACACTTTGCCAGTCAATTTTATCTGCAGCTTCTTTAAGTTTGCTTTCATCAATATTTTTAAAGTCTCTGAATTGTATGACCTTGGGTTCAAATTTGGGAGATGATAGATTAATACAAGCATATAAAAGATCATGACCTGAGAAACCAGAAGCAGGACTCTTGTCAAAATCAACAATAAGTTCGTCACAGTTAGTTGCAATTATGTCTAGAGCACTATCACAAGTTGCAGTGTGAAAGGTATTACCATAAGGAATACAAGAAACATTACATGAATCAAGAAGGGTTACAATACAATCAGTTTCACCTGTGCCACTACCAAATCTTGCATTCACATCTCCACATATCACTACATATTTATAAGTTGGAATGTATGAGCACAAGTCATCAATAAATGTTTCAAAAAAACCAACCTTGGGTGGGCGATAAACACATGCCAATAACACTCTGTCAGATGGTAACTTGAGTTCAATAATAATGTATTCAGGTTTATGGACATATTGAGATGGTGATGTTGTTAACACATTTACTTCGATATTATTTTGTACATAAATTGCCACTCCGCCACCACCCTTACCTATTCTGTCATTCCTGTACACATTGTAACCAGGTAAATCAGTTCTTGATCCAGGTTTAAAAAAGGTTTCACTCACTGCTATGACATTTACTCTGGAGTTCACAAATGATAAACAGAATTCATCATAGTGGGAGTTATCATTAAGAGATTGAGCATTGAGATGAACAATGTTAAGTAACGAAGAATGACTTTTTACTTTATTAGATAGAAATTCTTTTAAACTGAGCATGATGGAAATAGTAATGAGAAGACAAAAACAATATATTAGAAGGTGTTAACACCGCACTAAATCATTTTTGCGAAGTCTCTTTCATTTGTAATGATAGTTGGCCTATCATTGTAGTCTTTTTTGGCATAGATCTTGCTATCTTGAAACCAAATTATATTGTATCCTTTGGGGCGCCCATGTTGTTTGGCCGCCCACAACAGGTGTTTCCACTCGGGGGTTAGATGAGTATTGAGGTAGACTGTGGTGTCCGCCTGCCCACCAGTCACCTCGTTGCTCTTGACCACAGAATTCTTTTTGCATTTCAGCCATTGGTTACGGACACTCCTGGTAGTGAATTGAGCAATTACTTTGGGTTGCTCGTTGCCTCTTCTTGAAGGGATTCTATGTATCACATCGATATCATTTTCATTATACTCTACATTGATTTTTTGAGCAATATTCTTCATAACTTTTTTGAGGTCTTCACCTTTCACCACTTCCAGGCCACTAATTTCTATATTGCGGTTTCTTGCGTACTGCTCACATTCTCTAGCTCTTTCTTGCAAGTTGTTTATTATTGCATCCCTTTCTTCTACCATAGTCTTTAATTCTTCCATCTGCTTCGTCTGCTCTTCCTTTTGTTTTTCTATGACCTCCAACTTATTCAACACTGCGTCATACTGTTCGCTCATGAAATCAACACTTTTCTTGAGGTCAGTGATGGTCTTATTCATTGTTGTGATTTGTTCAATTGGTTTCAGTTTTTGGTTGATGAAGCTCATAAACTCTCTCAGCTCTTCTGATGACACGGGCTTGTCGTCCTGCTTCTCCGACTTCTCCCTTCGACAGGCAGGGCATTTCCATTTTGACTTGTCAGTTTTATTCCATGAACTTTCCTTGATGCCAGAGCAGTCCCCGAAGTGCAGTCTGCAGCCCTTTGCAGATTTGCAGATTACATGAGAGAACGGAAGTTCTTCTGTACATGTCGTACAGTGGTACGGCATGTTACTTGATGGTTGTCTTCTGCTCTGTGCTTTTGTTTACAGCAACAGCTGATGCTGGTAGGATCGTTCTTATTGGCCGGCCGTGACAGGTCAGACCTAACCTCTCCTTACTCAATGCGCTTGCGGCGAAACGCCCAGTTTTCAACTATCTCGATCCTACACAACCAATTCAACTATTTTTTGGGTGGAGTAGGACAAGCTGCACTTGATGATCACAAAGATATACTTCAACTATCTCTCTAACTTAAACTTTTTTGAGAATTTTCACGGAGCTACACATCCATGTCCACTCGACTCGAGGTCACGTGAAAGAGAGAGAGAGAGAGAGAGAGAGAGAGAGAGAGAGAGAGAGAGAGAGTCGTCGGCTCTTCGGCAGGTGCCAAAGGACTGGGTGTGACCATACCAACCACTCCCAGCAATAGCTTCCTCCTCTGAAAACAAAAAAATCGTGAAGCATTCAACCTCGCGGGGAAGTGTGTGATCGTGTCTTGCTATTTACTCGTACGCGACTTTACGGGATTGCTTGCGTTGCTCCATTTGCAGCCTATTTAAATCGTCTTGCTTTTGTGACATTCATCGATTTTTTTCCAATTTTACTCAATTTTTCTAACCGAAACAACTTGTTAAAATCACCACCCTTTATGTGGTTTTTGTGATAGCGCGCGAGCGTGTTTTTCTGCAGTCATACCATATTGCACTTTTGCGTTTGTGTGCGGCGGTGTCAACAACCCTTTCGTGCGTGGTGCGGTGTGGAGCTGGTGCTAAATTTGTTGTTGTGGGCCGTTTAGAATGAATGGGCGAACGGGGGGTGCCGGGTGCGCTGCGCGGCCCCCATGGGGTTGAGGTAGGCTGCTCTGCGGGGCCAGAGTGTGGGGGGAGTTATATCCACTTTGCGTGGTTTTGCAGACTGGTGGGGCCAGTATGAAGCATGTCCCTCTGATGGACTGCTCCCACTGCTGCCCCTCCCTCCCACCTCCCTCTCTCTCTCTTTCTCTCTCTGAGGATTGTTTGCGGTTCCGTTTAGCGGCGCGCGCGATGGCCTGCACTGTGAAAAGGGGCTTAAAATGTTCACCATTTCATCACTCACGAATTTCTTTATCCGCCCTAGCATATTGGTACATTGCATGTAACAAATTAACCTGTGATGAGATGCGATTTGTGAACAAAATTTTTGTGAAGAAGTTCTCACGTCACTTTAAAGAAGTGACGGGTAAATAAGTGGGATACAAGCAATCGAGTGCGGATAGAGATGGATAGAGTTGTTGGTTTGTGGCGTTGTGGCCGGACTTGGCGTGTGTTGCCGCGGCGATACGGCGCAGGAAAAGGGGAAGGTCTATAAAGAGATGGTAGAGGGAGAGGGGAGGAGGGTGTCCCCGGCCGGATTTTTCACCGCAGTGCTGCTGTTCCCTGCGGTTCCCTGCAAACCTCGGCGGCGCCGCTGTTTGCAATTTCCATGAGGTGCAGTCTGTGTGCGCCGTTGTGTCCACGCCGCTGCGGGCTGGGGGCCGCGGGGTGGTGGGGTCCTCGTGGGAACCCGTGGCGGCGTTGCAAACTTGCGCGCTGTTTCCTTTTTGTTTTGTTTGTACCCTTCCTCTTTTTTCCTTCTTTCTTCTTTTATAGTACTGACCCTAACCCCCACTTTTTGTTGTTGTCGTTGCAGAGCGCAGCCTTGAGGACCACGAGGACGTGCTGTCGGTGCACCGGGACATGCAGGCCTTCTGCAGGTACTCGGAGCGCCGCTTCGTGTTCCGGAAGGACTACCGCAAGTACGAGTTCTTCCACAATCCACAGGTGAGTGCTTTGGTCTACTCCTCCTCCTTCTTCTTTCTCGCTCGCCGCGCCGCCGGTGACTCGCGGTGAGGGCGATGGCAGGCCGCGCCGCCGGTACGTCCGCGGGCCTCACTTCACGTGCCGAGGTAGTGGCCAAGAGGTCATTACGCCCTAGTGCCCGGCCCGGCTCGGCTCGGCTCGGCTGGGGCTACCTTCGGGTGGGCTGTGCCCGCCGCGGCTACGCACCCGCGGGGCTGGCGCACTGCGTTGTACTACTACGGCTACAACGACGTAGTAAGGCCTCGTCTCGCCGCTCGCCGCCCGCCCGTCTCCGCGCGGCCCGCCGAGCCCGCGGAGCCCGCGGAGCGCCAACAACCTAGATCCCGCGCCGAATATGAAATAGCGGTATCCGGCCGCGGCCCTCTCCGCGCCGCGCCAATCAGATGGCCGCCCGTGGCTTCTTCTTCCTCCACTGCCTCCTCCTCCTCATCCTCTGCCTCTTCTTCCTCCCCTGCCTCCTCTTCCTCCTCCTCCTCCTCCTCCTCCTCCTCC